GGGGGGGGGGGGGTGAGAGGATGCGCGGCGTTGCAGGATTACAGGGAATGTACTCACGTGTCGACAGCCTTGACATGTCCATCTTTGATCTCTGCCTTCTCGTGGTCGATCTTCTTGTTGTCGAAGAACGTCTTGTAGACGTCGTTCTTGAGGTAGTCGCGGAGGACCGAGTCGTTCCAGCCGCTGCTGCACCGGCTCAACACGTTGGTCTTGAGGTAGTCAACCGCTGCGTCGGCATCGGCGACGCCGAGGTGCGCAGCCATGTATCTCCCGCCAGTTTTTACGAGATCGTTCGTGGAATCGGAGTTACCCTGTTGTTGGTGGAGGAGGGGTGGCAAGGAGGCAGTGAGCGAGTGGTGCGGGAGGAGGGGGAGGAGGAGCCTGTGGGGGGGAGGAAGGAAGAGTCGCGTGCGCTGCGCGCGCTGCATGCGCGCGCCGCGTGTGTCATGGTGGGAGCTTGTCTCCACGTGTCGGGGGGGGAGCTGACGAGCCAGCGCCGGCGGCGGGAGCGCTGGGCAGGGAAACCGTCGCTGGGGAGATTGTGTGATCGGGGCTGCGAGCGAGCGTTGGCGGGCATCTGGACTCGGGCGTCGGCGCCGCCGCACACACAAAAGAAAGGCGCGGCGACGGCGTGGTGGATGAGAGGGCTGGTCGTAGTGAGGGGAGAGGGGTGGACGAGTCACGCACCATCATGGTTGGTGGCGAGGAGCGGCGGCGGAGAGCGGCTCGGTGGTTACGCGCGCTTGGCGCCGGCCGTGTGTGAGTCTCGTGTGAGTCTGGACCCCACGACTTGGCGGTGAAAAGATGGTTTTTTTAGTACGCTTGCGTTTTTTTATTTTCTTAATGTATGTGGCTCTTACGTACATTCCCGGAGGAGGACTGCTGTTTTTACACTCGCGCGCGCACACTGGATGAAAAAGATTTTTTGTGTGTGGACAGGATTTCGGATTCCTGCCTCGCTCTAGAGTCTAGTGTGTCTTCACGCCGCGCCGATGGTTGTCAGAGCTCCTCCCTGGGTGCCCTTTTCGCCGCGCGTCCAGTCCGAGTCGCCACCCTCCGCGTCTTGTCGCGCTGCTTCTCCGTCGGCAGCGCGAGCTCGCCCCGCGCTGCGGCCGCCTCCGCCCTCGCTGCCACCTCCTCCCTCGAGCCCTGCGTCTCTAGCCCGGCCCGCTCGAGCAGCGCCCGCAGCTTGACGGTGGGCAAGCCGTGCACCGGGCTCGCCGCCGCCGCCGCCGCTGGCTCGGCCGTTGATGGTCGTGCGCCGCCCGCGCCTTCCGCCGGATCCACCACCGCCGAGGCACGACCGCCCCTCGCACCGCCGGCGGCCCCCGGGGCCCTCGCCCGGCGGCTCGTCCTTGCCTGGCCCCGCCCCTCCACCCTCTCCTCCTTCGCCGCGCCGCCGACCTTGGCATCGGCGCCACCCTCTGCTCTCTCCGCCGCCTTGG